CCCGGGACTCCCCGACGGCATCGCCCGCGCGCCGCGACGCCAATGTCGGCGCGCCCCCCCCGCGAGGATCGCGCCCGCTTCCTCCCCTTCTTTTACTCCCTCTTTGCCCGCGCACTCAAAAGTCCAAGGCTGCGGGCGCAGCGCGGCGCGGAGTCCCCGCGACGCGCGCAGGTCGCCCCAGAGGGGTCCCAGTGACGCGCGCGGGTCGTCCGCTGCGCGGAGCACAGAGAACTAGCTGGCTGGCTGATAGCGGGCAAGGCTCTTGCCGCTGGGCAGAGCGACGACGGGCGAGCGAGGCGCGGAACTCCGACGGCCTCCGACGGAGGTGTACTGGGTGGGGGAGACGCATGCGGACTGCGCCACGGGGACCTTCGGTGGAGCTCCCTAGGGGGCAACGACACATTGTACTGGGTGGGGGAACCGCATGCGGACTGCGCCACGGGGACCTTCGGTGGAGCTCCTTATGGGGCCACGAAACGCTGTGCTGGATGAGGGAGCTGCATGTGGACTGCGCCACGGGGACCTTCGGTGGAGCTCCGTATGGGGCCACGAAACGGTGTGCTGGGTGAGGGAGACACATGCGGACTGCGCCACGGGGACCTTCGGGGGAGCCCCTATAGGGCCACGAAGCGCTGTGCTGGGTGGGGGAGACGCATGCGAACTGCGCCACGGGGACCTTCGGTGGAGCTCCCTGTGGGGCCACGAAGCGCTGTATTGGGTGAGGGAGACGCATGCGGACTGCGCCGCGGGGGCCTTCGGTGGAGCCCCATCATGGGGCCACAAAACGCTGTACTGGGTGGGGGAGACGCGTGCGGACTGTGCCACTGGGACCTTCGGCGGAGCTCCTATGGGGCCACGAAACGTGTGAGGGGTGTGCCGAAATGAGTGGATGATGACGACGATGATGACGTTGATGATGATGATGGTGATGATGATGATGATGATGATGCTGATGCTGATGATGCTGATTGTGATGGTGATGTTGATGATGCTGCTGATGATGATGATGCTGATGATGATGATGATGCTGATGATGATGATCATGATGATGATGATGATGATGATGATGATGATGATGATGAGGAGAGGAGGGAGGAGGAAGGAGGAGGAGGAGGAGACGCGGGGACCGTCTCTTCAAAACGAAAACCCAACAACACAGGTTGGTTGGGAAAAAAAGGAGGAGGAGCAGGAGGGGGAGGAGGAGGAGGGGGGAGGGCAGAGGCCCCACGGCCTCCTCGGGCGCGCCCTCTTCGTGGAGGGCGGCGGCAGCCTCGGCCTCCGCCGTCTGAGAGGCCACCTCTGCCCAGGCCTGGGCGCCTTGGCCCACGTCTGGCTCGGGCGGGGGCGCGGACGGGGGCGGCATGGGAGGGGGAGGGATGGGAGCAGAAGCGGAAGAGGCCCACAAACTCGGGGGGGAAGTGGTGGGAGGGGGCAGGGGAGGGGGAAAGAGGAGGAGGATGAGGAGCAGGATAATGCCTCCTCCTCCTCCGCCTCCTCTCCGGCGCCGATGAATTCAGGCGGCTCGCGGGGCAACGGCCCGGCGGGCGGACAAGGCCCTTCCGGCTGCCCTGGGGGTCCCTTGCGAGGGTGCCGGTCTGTCCTGGAGGGATGAGCCCCCAGGGCCGAGGCGACGGGGAGGGGGATGGGGGGAGGGGAGGGGGAGGAAGGAAGGGGGAAAGGGAGGAAACACGTTTTGCATAGCGGAACGTTTCTTGGTAGGCATTCGAGGCATTCGAGGAGCAGGCGGAGGAGGAGGATGAGGAAGAAGGCTAGCAAAATCGCAAGAGACCTCCTGGATGCTCGGAGTCTCTTTGGATGTGTCTTGACAGATTGTTGGATTCCTCTTGGAACGTCTTGGTGGCCTCGTGGCGGTCCTGGGGGCCTCTGAGAGCGTCTTGGGCGCCTCGGGAAAGCCTCTTGGAGCCTCTCGAGGGTCTCTTGGGAGCCTCTTGGGGACATGTTGCGGGCGCCTCTTGGGCGCCTCTTGGTGGGCACTCTTGGGAGCGTTGGGGGCCATCTTGGAGGAGATCGATCAAAGAAGGGGGGAAGTAAATTACAGCCCCCCCCAAGGAGGCCAAACTGGCCCCCCAAGCAAAAGTACCACCAATGATTCCTCTCGCTTCGCGGGGTGCACGTCCGGAGCACGTGCAGTCTAGTCTTTGCGGCCTCTTGGGGGCCTCTTGGGCCTGACTCTGGGGGGCCTCTTGGAGGCCGAGTTTCCCCGAAACGCAGTGCCATCGTCCAACCGCGGCAGCGCAGGCTTGGTATGCCCTGCCTGCTGGAAGTTTTAGTCCGTACCAGAGTGGCCTGTCGTTTGCGGCCGCATGAAAGATACAATTGGCGCAGTGTGCCGGTGTGAGACCTGCTCGCTTGCCGCCGCATGGGTTTCGCACGCCGTTCGGCCGTTTCGGCGTCGTCCAGAGTGCGTGTTTCGCGCATCGTGGAAGTCATCTGGTGCCTCTGGGGCCTCTTGGGGCCCCCTTTAGGCTGTTCGGAGAAGTTCGGAGCATATGCAATGCAGTCGTTTCGAGGCCTCCTAGGCCCCTCCTGGGGGACTCCTGGGGTCCTTTTGGCGGAGGCTCCTTGGGGGTCTGCTTGGGGGCGTATTGGGACCGTCCTGGGGGCGTTTTTTTGGTTTATCGGGGTCCTTTTTGGCAGCTTATGGTGGCCTCCTTGGGCTACTTTCGGAAGCCAACCAGGGGTGGCGTCGTGGGCAGCGTCTCGGTGCGCTCTTGCGCGTGTATGGTCCTTTGGAGGCCGTCATTTGTTCTGTGGGGCCCTTTTGTGGGCTTTGGGGCCGTCTTGGGGCAAATTGTGTTGGCCGTTTCGGGCAGTGCCTGGGGCCTCATGAGAGTCGAAATAGGCAGGAAAGACCGTTTTATTCAGTTCATAAACTCCGATGGGTAACCCATGATTTTGGCCTCTGCGATCGTGGGCTATGAGGGTCCTCTTGGGGTCCTGTTCGGGCGGTCGTGAGGGCTGCGCTGGGCCGTCTTGGGGCCATTTGGGCCCCGAGACCGATGTGTCTCATGAGGCCGGTGTGGGCCCACACTATCTGGGGCCGTCTTGAGGCCCTGTTGTCGCGCCCGGACAGACCCCCCACTCAGACACGTCGATTGAGGAATCGTCCCGGGGCTTTGATTTTATTTTTCAAAACGTGCATTGGTGCGCACTCTCACGCCTAGTGCGTGTTGGCGTTGTGCTGATTGCAGCGGTTTTCGATTCGTCGCCGTGCAAACGTGCATGACATCGAACTCACGACGTGGAACTTGCAGTGGCCAGGACATCCCTTGCAAGGGGAACACAGGCCCGCGCGCGGCCCGCCTGGCGCAAAGGCAAGGGGGAGCATGCAAACGCATTGCGTTAAACTGTGTAAGAACGGTAGCGAGAGCAGGGGGCCCCACCAGGCAATCACATTCGAATGTGCACACTGCAAATTGCCTAGCACATAAGATTACGCATGTCAACAGTGAGACTCGCGACGCGCACATCGCGCCAACAGTTTTAGTTTTTGTTTCGTGAGCGGCGTGGGCAGACAATCGTTGCTATTACCTGTCTCTCCCATCGCCCTTGTACTGTCCCCCACTGCACTGTCAGACTGGTGTGTTCAGTCTACGGCATTACATCGCACGGGCGCCATAGCTTCGCAGGGTTCATGCCCTGTGCCGGGTCTCCATATTTTGAGTGAGCGGGTTTTGATGCTCGTTGCCAGAAGAGTCGTCGGCAACGCGTCTTGGGGGGATTTCGGGGAGTTTTTTATGTGAGCAGCTCGCGAATGCATTCGCCAATCCGTAGCTTTTTCTGGCAATTGGTTGTGGATCCACTTGCGATTTCTGGATGCTTATTTGTCGTCCATCCCGCGTTGCTTGGTTGATTCCGTCGCTTAGCCTACCAAACTTGCGTCCCTGCCGTTGTCCGGCCGATTAGCGCACTCGGCCAGCCTTTCTTGCGCCGCAGTTGCCGTCTGCTCGAGTGCTCTCGGCGATTGGGAAGTCTCGGGCGGCGGCGGTGTCCACGCGCAGCATTGTCGATATCGGGTTGGGGAGAAGCAGTCGCCGAAAAGATGGAGGGTCACACTGGAGGGAACGGGTGGCCACCCTAGCGCCACCACTAACGCCCGAGATCACCAGAAGGCAGCGCCCATAGAAGACAAATATACGTTTATGCTATATTTTATATTGGGCACCCTCATGCGCTTTCGGGTCATTGTGGGCGGCCCTTGGAATTTTCAGGCAAGTTCCTGGGGGTTTCTCGAGGGCCCGTCGGGCGTGTTTGTGGGCCTCGTGGGCGTTGTCGCACCGTCTTCGGCCGCACTGGGGTTACCTTGGAGCCTGGGGGCTGCGAGGGGCCGTCTTGGGACCCGCCGCCCACTGGCCCCCTTCGCGGGTTTCCCATTGGAGCGCTCTCGGGTTTCTCTTGGAGTCTGCGGGGCCCTCTTGGAGCCCTCCTCGGCTCCACATGGGCCCATTTCGGGTTTTCGTGGCGCCATCAGGAAGAGTTCCTGAGTCCCGCCACAACTACAACAGCGAAAAACCCCAAACCATCCGATTCACAGTACGTTTTGACAAATCTGTCCTCTTGAGGGCCTCTCGACGGCTGTGTTGGTTGGCCGCCCTCTGCGCTGCCTGGGGGCCTCTCTGGGCCGTGTGAGCGCCATCATTGAGCCTCCTGCCCATGGATCCCCGCTCTTGGGCTGGGACAGGCCTTCATTGGTTTATCCTGGAGCTCTCCAGGGGCGCTCCCGGGGGCGCTCTCGGGGGTCCTCGGTGCCCTCTTGGACCCCGTCTGGGCTTCGCGTGGGCCCATCTTGTGCGGTCCCATCGTCTTTCCTGGCAGGCGCCCGCGTCCTTGCCTTCGGACCTATGCGCGCTGCAACGGCGACGGGGCCAGACATCCATGTCATGTAGTTACCCCTGCGTAGCTTTTTTTGGCCCGAGCAACAGTGCCATCGTAGCGCCTTCTGAAACGAGCCGCCGCTTTCGCTGCCAGCTGCCACCGCCATGGGCCGCACGAAGGCCACCCTTTTGGAGCAGGTGGAGAACCTGAATGTGCGGGCAACGGAAACGAAACGCTTGGCGCAGAAGCGTGAGATCATGCTGGCGATGAAGAACCGCCCCTCCTGCATCGATGGCCTGTACGAGAAGTACACGTCCATGGGTTTGAACGCCGACGTCATCAAGACCCCGGAGACGCAACAGAAGTCTCTTTCTCAGAAGGCCGTCGAGAAACGCAAGGCAGACCACGATTTGCAGAGGTCCCAGAGCTTCGAGACGCTGAAGGCGAATGCCCTTGCTGATGCGGCGGGGTCCGGGGATGAGGACATGGAGTTTGACCCATTCGGCGAGAACTTCGAGGATCTTGCTTCGCTTCACGTCAATGAGCTGCGAGACCGCGTCCTTCCCGGCATCGAGCCCACCCACCTCAGTAAAGCAAACATTCGCAGCATGAAGGACCCTGAAGCCCGAAGCAAATCTGGCCTCCTCAAGATGATCACATTCGCGACTGGTTTGAACACGGACTTCAGGTTGGTCGGTCGTTTCGCATGCCGGAACCGTTTCGTGGCGTACGCACGCAAGCGGTCTCTGGAGAGGCGCCGCCGCGTGTTATCGCTGAGCTTGCCGCCGTCTTACTCGGACGAGGGTCTCGCAGCCGTCGCAGGGGCCTCGGAGGACGGCGTCACCGTGAAAAACCGGTACACAAGCGAGATGGTGACAGTGCCTAAAGCAAATTGCCCCCCGTACGATGATGTGTCAGACTTGTACATTGATTCAAATTGGTCCGAGAGCCAGCTGGCGCTCGCGTCCACCAAGAACCCAACAGGCGACCAGAAACACAACCTCTCCAATTATTTCAAGGGTTGGGCCGTCAAGGTGGAAGCCAAGGCCGAGCCTGCGGCCTCGCCGTCGGGCGGCGCGGCATCCAGGAAGAGGGGGCCTGGGGCGACGCCCCAATCTGGGAAGAAGGTCAAGCCATCGACAGACAATGCAGGTGGGACGGCGTCCGCCCAAACCAAGGTTGCGGCGGTTCAGCCGAAGCTCGAGGGCGGCGGTGTCGCCATGGATGATGCCGCCGAGGAGGGTTCGGGGAGCGAGGAGGCCAGCGTGGAGGGTGGCATGGCTGCGCCTGTTGAGCCAGGTCCTGGCGACTACGACGAGTCCGCGTTGGAGCCACCCAGGGCCACCGATTCAGGGAGCGGCCCCGTCCCGGCGGCGGCATGAGTTGCGAACGCATGGGCTTGCGGACAACCGTTTATAGCTGCAGAGGCGGGTTTTTTTTCGGGGAGTTGCTCGCCCTCTGCTCGCCCGTATAGCGCCTGCTATACACCAGCTGTAGGAAGCATCGGGGTTGGCGCTTTCGGTTGTTTGCATTGTTCTTCCCGTCTGCGGTAACCGTTTGTACAATACCTCCGTTTTCTCTGTCGCAGAGTGAGGTCCACGAGCTTGCACCGCTGGCCAGCGCGCTGAAATTCCGATGACCGTCACCGTCTGCCCCCGCCGAGCGTCAGCTGATTTCGCGCTTGTCGTTATGTTGGACGGGCGACGTGCGTTTTGTTTGCACAGTGGGAAGGGGGGGGGAGGGCAGCCCCGCCCATAGGGGGCAGAGGGCGGGTGCCCTTGAGGGCCTATGAGCGTCAGCCCTACACGCCCTATGAACCCTATGAGATCTGTGGGCCCTACGAGCCCCATGAGCCACATGAGCCCTATGGGCCCTAGGGGGGCCCTAGGCGTCCTAGGACCCCGATGAGCTCCCTGAACCCCATGTGCCCTATGGGCCCTATGAGCCCCATGAGGCTCATGAGGCCTATGCGCCCCGTGAGCCCTATGAGACACACAAGCCCTGTGACCCCTATGAGGCCTCTGAGCCCTAGGAGCTTTAGGGGCCCTAGGAGCATTAGGAGCCCTAGGAGCCCCATCGGCCTTATGAGCCACATGAGCTTTTGAGACCTATGAGCCCTGTGAGCCCCATGAACCCAACGAGTACCATGGGCCATGCGAGCCCTATGGGACATACGAGGCCTATGAGGCCTGTGAGACCCATGGGATTTGTGAGCCCTATGAGCCTTCTGAACCCTGTGAGCCCTTCGAGCCCTATGAGCCTCACGGGCCCTATGTGACGTATGGGCCCGATGAGCCCGATGAGCTTCATGAGCCCTATGAGCCCTATGAGCCCTGTGAGCCCTAGGACCCCGGCGAGCCCCATGAGCCCTATGAGCCCTACGAGCCCGACGAGCCTTGTGATGAGCCCTACGAGCCCTATGGGCCGTAGAAGCCTTATGGCCTCCCTGAGATCTATGAGCCATATGAGCCCCATGAGCCCTAGGAGCCCTAGGAGCCCTTTGCGCCCTAGGAGCTATATGAGCCCTATGAGGCCTATCAGGCCAGGGGGCCCTACAAGCCTTGTGAGCCCTACGAGGCCTGCGGGCCGTATGAGCTCAATGGGTCCCTTGGGCCCTACGATGCACCCTGGGATGAGCCCTATGAGCCCCATGAGCCCTATGAGCGTTCTGAGCCCGATGAGCCCAATGAGCCCTATGAGTCCTACAAGCACTATGAGTACGAACCCCACGAGCCGCATGAGCCCTATGAGCCCCATAAGCCATATGAGCCCTGAGCGCCCGATGAGCCCCATGAGACCCATGAGCCCCATGAGTCACACGAACTCTAGTAGCCCTGCGAGCCGGATGAGCCCTATGAGCCTTATGAGCCCTATAAGCCCGATGAAACTTCTGAGCATTGTGAGCCCTCTGAACCCTATGAGCCCTAGGAGCCGCAGGAGCCCTATGATCCTTATGGGCCCTTTCTGCCTTGCGAACACGATGATGACTATAAGCCCCATGCGCCCTAAGAGCCCTGAGAGTCCTATGAGCCCTATGAGCCCTATGAGCCCTATGAGCCCTATGGGGCCTATGAGCCCTATGAGCCCTATGAGGCCCTATGGCCCCATGCGCGCACGTACCGTGAGCACAGGGGGGACTCGCAAGTGGCACCAGACCGTCGGAGGACGCCGCCCCGCTAATCACTGTTCTGGCGGAGGGCGTCGCAAATTCACGTAAAGCGTTTTAATTGTCAGACTCACTAGAAGTATGCATCGAGTCTCGTGGCATGCCTCGGCCCTCCCAGGGGACGGACGGAACACCCTCGAACGGTACGCCAGAGCGTGCAAGTAAGCTTCCCGGTCCAGCCCAAGGCCTGGATTGGATGCACTCAGGGGGTCCGAGGGTTCACAGAGTTCCGAGGGCTCATATGGCTTGTAGGGCTCATGGGGACCCTGGGGCCCACAGGGCTCATAGGCCTCCGAGGGCGCAGAGGGCTCATAGGGTTCCTAACGCTCATGGGGCCCATGAGGCTCATAGGGTTCAAAGGGCTCACAGGGTTTACAAGGTTCCTAGGGTTCATTAGCCTCATGGGGCTCACAGGGCTCATCGGGTCCATAGGGCGCATAGGGCGCATAGGGCTCATACGGCTCCTGGGAGTCCTTGGGCTCATCGGGCCCACATGGCGCATAGGGCTCTAAGGGCCCCTGGGGCCTTTAGGGCTCATAGGGCCCATACGGTTGCTGTGGTCGTCGCTCGTGCGGCTGTTTCGTAGCAGCCGCAGTGTACTGGTGAGCTGCCAAGCTAGCCGATGTTCTCTTATTCCCAGGGTGCCTTGATCGTCCCTCGTGCTGTGGCTTCGGTGCAGCCGCAGTGCATCGGCGAGCGAGCTGGCCGCCTAACCTGTGTTCTCTCGTGTTGCCAGGGCGTCCATGGTCGTCCCTCGTGCTGCGGCTTCGGAGCCGCCGCGCTGTCCTGGCGAGCTGTCCACCTACCGGTGTTCTGTCATTCCCTGGGTGCCGTGATCGTCCTTCCCAGTTTTCGGCCCATTTTGCGTGGGCTTGGTGTGCGGGCGTCCGAGTAACGGTTTGGACGTGTTGGGCCAGTAATAAGAGCCCGACTTTCAGCCCTAGGTACGGGTTCACACAGCTCGTGCGGAATCGGAATTCACCCCCGACGTTTCGGCCACGTGTGCAGGACAGCCTCCGTCGTTGAGGCTCGAGCGGCCGAGTAGTAACTTCGTAATCGATTGACTTCCCTCCCTCTCTCCCTCCTTCCTTCCCTTCCTCTCTCCCGCCTTCTCCCCCCCCCTTTCCTCCCTCCCTCCTCCCTCCCCCCTCCCCTCCCCTCCCCTCCGTTGTTTGTTGCGTCCTACTTCGGCGGATCGCCGTCCAGACCATCGCTCCCAGAAGTGCAATTGGCGTAGGCTGTACGACCCCCCCGCTTCGGGCCAAAGAGGAGGGGGGGGAGCGGGAACAATGGGGAAAAGGGGGGGGGAAGTCAAGGGGGGGCACGATTCGTTAGCGCCTTGGTCGAGCGGAGGGGGGGGCAATTTCGTTTACACTCTGGTCGGGCGGAGGTGGGGTGGGGGGGGGGACCTCGATTTGTTAACATCCTGGTCGGGCGAAGACGGGGGGGGGACAATTTCGTTAACACCTTGGTCGGGCGGAAGAAGGGGGGATACGATTTGTGAAAACCCTGGCCGGGGGGGGGGGACACGATTTGTTAACGCCCTGGTCGGGCGGAGGGGCGGGACGATTTGTCAACACCCTGGCCGGGCGCAGGGTGGGGCACGACAGGTCTACTCCCCCCGCACCTCCCGTCACCGTCCCCCGCCAATGCGGGGTGTTAGAGGGAAGGGGATGGATGGTGAGGGGAAAGATGGGGCGGGCAGGAGTACGACAGGAGGCGGTCGAACGAAGGACGAACAATGAGGCCAAGAGACAGACTGCGCGAAGAGACAGGGGGACGAGAGTCGAACTAGTATAAGGATGCGTCACGCGCAAGGGCACCTAGAAGAGATGGAAGGGAGGCGACGGCAAGCATGAGGAATGGACGGGGAGAGCAAGAGACGGGAGGGGGGAGACAAGCAGTGATGGCATACAAGGCATCTCGGCTCAACGACTCCCGCCGCAGACCGGGGGGGGGCGGCTCCAGACCATTCGCGGCCCGATCCACATTAGCACATTGTGGTACCATCTCGCAAGATTGCCTGCGCATGGCTGCCAGCAGTGGCGGCTCTGGTGAGTCTTGCAATGGCGTCCTATGTCGCTTCAGTGCGTGCACCGCCGGGGGGAACAACCAGAGCGCCGCATGGAAAGCGTATGCTACAGAGCCTGGAGAAACGGAATTGAGGTGGCAAATCCTTCGCTTTTTGCCGAACGTCGGGTATACCGAATCAGGGAAAAAAAGATATTGGCGTCACATTTCTGATAATTTCACCCGTTGGGAAGCATTGTTGCAGCTCGCTCAGCTAGACGCGCCGGCCAACATCGGGAGGTCCCTCAAAAGCATCCACTATCGGCAGGAGGTGGACCAGCTGGACGATGCCAATGCGGATCATTGGGTGACGTCCGCAGCCCTGCTCTGCTTGCTGGCATCGTGGGTCAATGACCGCCGCCGCCTCGACATACGTTCGCAGTGCCGCGCGATACTGGTGGCGTTCTTGCAGAAAACCGTTCCCGTCGAGGCGGTGTCCAACGGCCCGCTATTGGAGTTGCGGCCGAGCACTTCTTGCCAGGCGGCTTGCAGGAGGCTCCCTATTGTGGACGATCGATGCCTTTGCCTGCAACAGTTGGTTGCTAGCGCCGCCAGTGGCCCCGAGCAGGTATCGCCACAAGCTCGCGTGGCTGATAAGTTAGTAGTGCTCCAGAAGGAGTCTGGGACGTGCGCGGCAGCCCGGCGTTGGTTTCAGGAGACTTTGCAAGCGCTGCAGCATATCGTCGACGACGCCGTGCATCTGTGGGGCGACTTCGATTGGCACAAAGGCTCCGACGCGAAGGTCGGAGGGGAAGCCAAGAGGAGGAGGCTCGATCCACACGTGAAAGTCATGGCGCTCCACACTGCTGTGGCCGACGGCTCCCAGGCCACGGGGGCTGCGTCTGCTCGCGCGCACGGCATCGAGGCTTCCGAAGGCGTGAAGATAATGAAGTCGGAGCAAGCGTGCTATCAATGTGCCTGTCACTTGTCGGCTGCCAGCTCCCAGCAGATCGCCGTTTGCGTCGACGGGGCCCGCATGGGCAAGCCCTCTCGCGAGATGCTCCTGGGGGCCCTGAGCTGCGTGGACACGGACGCCCACTTCATCTTGCCGCCGCAGGCCTGAGGTTTCAACGGCGCAGGCTGCCCAGCGGGCGGTTGCCCAGTGCACCGGCGCACCCGGCAGCGGATGCGGAGCGCGCCGGTGCA